TATACCCCCAGCCCTGGGTTTCATTCTTGACACTGATATTTAGCAGATGTATTTTAACCCCCAATGACCTTGGGATGTGTATGTGCTTGTGTGTGCAACCCTGTTGATCTTGTTAAACTGGAATGAGGATGCCTTAGCATTTCTATTTCATTGAGTTTTTTGAGGTTTAGTACAATCAGCTATTTTTCTGTAGTCCTGCTAAATATAAAATCTTATTGCTGTGCATAAAATTAAGTATATACACCTAAACATTTGTTTTCTAACTATATGCATTCAATGTTCTAATTTTTCATTGTATTTGTTGGGTTTTTTTTTAGACAGGGTCTTACTATTTAGTTCCCGGCTGTCCTCGAACTCACTGCATAGCCCATTCTGCTCTCAAACTCAGAATGAGTTTCCTGCCTCAGCCTTCAAGGTGCTGGGATTACAAGTGTGCACCATCACACCCAGCTCATTTCTGTTCTCTTGATCCGTCCTGGACTTACAGGATTCTAGAGTCCCTGCTTTGACTGTGTTCCTGATTCCTTATTACTAACAAATTGTGCGTGGTTAGTTTTGCTGTTTTTGACGTGTCTTATTTCGTTAAGACTCTGCGCCCAATCTTCCAACAAAATCCCAACAAAATCCCATGCTCTGTAGAAGAAAAATGCGAAACACTCCTCACCGCGCTTCACCGACGTCGCACTTCTCTGCTGATCTCCTTAGAGGCGACACACACCTGCCTTCCTCGGGCCTTTACTCCAGCCGGAGGCACGGCGACCGGCAGCGGGACGCGGCCGCTCACCGCCTTGGCGCTGCTCGGCCGTCTAAGAGGCACCTCGGCTTCCCCGGCCGCTCTCTTCGAGGGCCATCACCCCTCTGCCCCTCGGTCCGGCCGCCTTCCGCCTGGGCGCTCGCCCCCAGCCTCACTGCCACGGCCACGCGTGCTCGCAGAGCTCGTCCGCTTCTGCCCGCCTCCCTGCTGTTTGTTCCTGGCAGCAGACCTTGCTGACTCTTGCACACCGCCCGCTTTGTGGCCCTGGGTGTTGAAGCCAGGGCCTTCCCCAGGCTACGAGCCGCCTCTGGGTTCTGTTCCCAGCTCTGCCTGTTACTTCAAGGGTTTCTGTCTTTCACAAGTGAATTAAACGTTTTCATTTTCAATTGTTTTTACTTCTGCAGTCCTCCTTGGTATTTCCTATTCCTTTTCGCGCATTTCTACTTTTCACTGTTTTATGGAACTTTCCTCAGATTATCTGCTGCGCCAGCCTGGGGGAAAAGCACAGCAAGGTACAGAGCACCAAGCACAGCCTCCTGAGCGGTCGCAGAACTCGCAGGTCTAGAGCGGCTCCCCGGCTTCCCTTTGCCTGTCACGCGTGTATGCTCACGTGCACCCGCGAAATGTTTCACCCGATTTCCAAAACCCTCTGTTCTTCCCCGCTGTCCTACACGAAATGTCCTTGCTTGGGTGAACCTTGTCATTTCGTTCTGCGGTTACAGAGCACCTACCTGGGATTTGTCTGACTGAGCTAGCAGAACGAGGGACATGGCTGTGGAAGTGACTGGCCTGACTTTGCATCCCGCCTGTGCAGCGGAGTGCGCGTGCTTTGCCGCACTGCAAGCGAGAGCGGGAGCGTGCCGCCCTTCCTCGTGAGTACCGGTACCACGGCCGCTGATGTCTGTGTAAACGCGAGGAGGAAGAGGGCCCTGCGCGGAGCCGGCTGGGACTCAGGGTCACTCGGCGCAAGCACTTTCCAGACTCCCCCGAACATTCTCAACGCAAAGGGCCAACAAAAGCAAAACACACGGTGCCGTATTTTTCAGGAGCCGAGTTTGGTGTCAGTCCCTTGCTCTGGACGTGTCGGGGGGCTTGTGGTAGCGGCAGCGGCAGTAACAGTAGGTGGATGGTAACTTAAACAATGTGTCCATAAAGTCCAAAGTCCTACAAAAGCTTTCTGACTCCCTCGGTTCCTGCTGTGGCCCCAGCAGTAGCCCCGGCAGCGGGAAGGCCGGGAGAGTTTGTCGGGGGATCTTTCCTTGGTGCTCTTGTTCATAAGCCCTGCCCAACCAATGACTGTGATGATACATAATCTGTATTAAGTTCTTTCCTTCTTATAGTAATCATTTTTTACTAAAATAAAATTCCCAAGTTTTCTATATTTTTGCAGGTTAACCTCATTTTAAGGAAGTTATTGACATGTCGTTTAGGATTCTGTCCTTTGGGTAAAAAAAGTCTAGTACTAAAACCTTTGAATTAACTATTTTTGGTTAGTCTCTGCATATGCTACAGAATGTAGTCAGACAAGTTATTCCACCTTCATATTTTATTACTGACCCCAGAGCTTTTGCACTGGGCGGCACCCTCCCTCCCAACCCGCTCTTATCTTGAGACAAGGTCTGAAGTCACTAGGTGGCCCCGGCTGAGCTTCAACTTGCCATTCTCTTGCCGTGGCTTCCAGTCCTACGACTGCAGTTATTTTATCTGTGAGGAAAATAACCTCCTCTCCACCCACCCCAGGTTCAACGTACCTACTGCACAAAAACCATTACTACCAGGCTCTGACGTTTATTAACTAACTGGACAGGAAAGTCACCATACTGAACGCTGATGCTCAAGGTGCTAGGGTTTTCCATACTTTTATTTTCCAAGCTTTATTTTAAAAGTACATTAAAAGGATCAGAATTACAAATCTAGCCTGTTAACATAAGAACAATTATAAAATGTTTTAAAGACATCACATACTTTGCCTCGTAGTAAAGCATCAGGAGAACAGCGGTACCCTGCAAACGAACCGGATCCAACTCAACTCTTGTTATGTTTTTTCACCTCATGACTTTGAGTTCTCGTTGTAGCCCTTATGAAGAAACAAGTTACATACGTCTGTCTACACCTACACGGCTACAGGCATAGATAAACATGTGTAACTGTGAAGAGACGAGTCATATCTATGTACATGTAGATACGGAGCGGAGCTGAGAACCCAGCCCACTATGTGTTTCGTGAAGTTAAATCGATGACTTCTTACTGAGCATAAGGAGAGTAAACACTGTGTATGTGCGTGCCTAGTTTTCCTCATGCTGTAATTTTTACCTCCCAAAGCTGGGCCCCATGCTGATCCAATCATCTCAAACTAAAGGTCACACAGAAAACCTCACATTTGAATTTTTAAAGTAGAAATTACTGTTGTTATAACCTTTTATTAAATCACATTTGAAATGCCTGTCCAAAAATATCTATCTAGTTATCTGTCTACATACACATATGTACGTATGTGCATCTTAAAAAGTGTGAGATATCTTCTTGATTAATGTTATTGATTATGAAGTTGTCTGGCTTATTGAAATAAATGCTAGGTTTTGAATTAAGAAAAAGTCTAATTTTTTTTTTTTTTTTTTTTGGTACCAGGAATCAAATTCCAGATCTTGCGCTTGCCCAGGAGGTCCTGGCGGCTGAGCTACACCCCCTGCCAAGAGTCTAATTCTTAATTTGCCACAACTCTTCGAATGCTCTCGGGACAGGGTATTATACTTCTGCGTTCTTTGTGAAAGGGAAGTAATACACAACGTACCCCACGGGAGACTATAAATGACAATAGTGCGGTGTTAAAAATACAAAACCACAACTGAGCAGGTAGTAGGGACTTCCAAAAATAGCTCTCGACTACAAAAAAAGTGAGAGGGTGATTATGCTCTCTTCGGTTACAAAATTTGATAGCAAAAATAAAAGAAGAAAGGGAGAGAATGGAGGGAGGGAGAGAAGGGACAGACGGTCTTGAAGGCGAATTTCGTAACAAAATAAAGCCTACACCTCACGCGTAATTCTCAGAAGCACAAACGACTGCCGAAGACGAGGCAGCAGCCGCCAGCTGAGGCGAGCAGAGGTCGCGTGGCAGGTCTGAGTGTCCCCCGCCTCCCGACCTCTGCGGGCCCGCCCAGGGAGGCTCTGCCCACCGAGCCCTGGCGCTCCAAGGGACAGATAGATACCTCCTGAGGTGCAGGAACAATTCTCAGATACCGCGGTTCATAAAGACAGGTTTTGTAGCTTGGTGCTTGAGTCTAGCAGTTACAGTTCCAAAATTCTAGTGAGTTCAAATCCTCTGTAATGAAAATACTTATAAATTAGAAATGAGTTCACAGTTGTTACCGTAGGCATCACAGAGAATATAACAGAATTAGTTTCAGGTGTGGAGATGCTGAGTCTTTTTGCCCATTTCCAGTTTAAGACTAGTGGGAGAAATAAAACAATCTGAATACAGATCACCTTGAGAATTTTTCCACCATAGTAATACATAAATAAACACAAAAGTGAGTCATTTCTGAAGAGTTAGTCAAGTGGTTACTAAACTTTTCTCATGCAGAAGGAAAACATAAAACCCTCCCAATCTCATCGCTATGCCTTTTTAAGGCGAGAATAAAGATTTCTCAGTGCATGACAGCCACTCCCGCACCTGCAGCACACACACCCTCTCCTAAGACGGCAGCGTCGCTCCTGCTCGCAGAATAGCGCCCCCTGCTGCAGAGGCCGCCCTCCGTGCCAGGAGTCTCCACAGGCCATTCCAAACTTGTAACAAGCAAAAACATCTTTCTTTTAGTAAAATAATTACACAGCTACTCAACTGACACAAAATTAAAATGTCTGTAATAAGAAAGGGCCGGACTGGGGCTCGAACTCGGTTGTAGAACACTTACCCAGCATGCATGAGGCCCTGTGTTCGATCCCCAGTACTGCAAAGGGAAAGGAAAAAGGAAAGGAAACGTGGACACACGGTAACACCGTGCCTTAGTTGCCTATCTTTCGAAAGGAAAATACCTAGTGCCTGTTTGACCATTTGGGGTAAGAACAGAAATATAGGAAATCTATTTCTGATGAACAATGTTATTTGTTCAAATCAATCTGCTACCCAAAAAGTGAATTATTCTTTATTTCAGTAGTTCAAATAATCAAATTTTATATTTTATAAAAATAACACCCTAGCAAAAATCATACCTTAAAATTCTTTTTTAAAAAATCTAGCCAGAGCTGAGGGTGTAGCTCAGTGGTGGCATGCTCAGCATGCATGAGGCTCAAGGTTCAATCTCAAGCACCAAACAAGACAAAATGAACCACACACACACACACACACACACACACACGCACACACACCTCCCCAAACCGAAAATCCAGCGGAGATGCACTTTGCAGACCCATAAGGCTGACTCGGTGGACTGCAATCGATGGATTTTCTACCTTGACACAGGGTCTTCATTCCTAGCAGCTATTTAAAGGTTCAGTACAAAAGACTGGGTATAGGTCGGGTGAAAATTTAAATAAACTTTTACACCAAATCTTCAAATGTCAGGAAACTATAAAGCAAATCAAGACACCAATACTTTAGACAAAAGAAAATCTTAATCTCCCAAATCTTCAAGCTTTGATCTGCCACTGGTCTCAAAAAATATTTAATATTCAATCAGCATTAGGAAGAAAAACCACTTGTGCATGGCTCCCCGGCTCCCGTGCTTTAGACAGAGGGCGCGGGAATGGGCTTGGCGGCCGTGCTGCCGCGCCCCTGCGTTAGGTCGGTGGTGGCGTGGTAGTGCACGGCGATGTAGGAGCTGACCGGCGGCAGGCCCGCGGGGCTGCTCCCCTCCCGCGAGGGGCTGCTGTGGTAGACGCTGTAGTACGGCTCCATCCGCGTGTTGATGGGCGTGGAGCAGCTCTGACCGCAGGGCTGGTGTCCCGCTGAGACCTTGGGGCTCACCACACTGTCCTTGGAGTGACTCGGGCCACAGGCCTGGTCCGCAAGTCTCCTCTGCGCCTTCGGAGATAACATGTAGGCAGAGTTTGTTTCGTGGTGGGAAGATTTGTTTCTGTTGACTTCGAGGTTCCCTTTGCCCACGGCTCGCAGTCGCGTCTTCTGCTTGCGGCAGCAAAGAGCCACGCCGGTGTGCTGCAGGCACCACAGCACTCGCCTCCTCAGCCCTGCGCTGTTCCGAGAATATATGAAAGGGTTTAAGCCCGACTTCAGAAATATAAGGGTAAATCCAAGCAGTTCGAACTGGTAGAAGATGAAACTGCCCCTGCTGGACAGAACCACCTGCAGCAAGGCAATCCCCAGCGGAAGGCAGCACACCAGCACCGACAGCACAATGACCACACAGGTGAGCACGGCTTTGGAATCCTTGGCCGTGGACAGGTTGATGGCCGAGGCCAGCTGCAGCCGGCTGGCCGCGGGGGCTGGCGGCTGGCCGGGGCTCTTGGCGCGGCCGTGGGTCGGAACGCGCGGCAGTTTGTTGTAGGTCTGGTTCCTGTACAGAGCCGGCACGGTACGCTGGAGCGGGGCTCCCCCCGCCTTCACAGGGGCCCCCGCGAAAGGCTGTGGCCGGCCCGCGTCCGCGGTGAGGACGGGGGGACACTTCCTAGCCTGCGCGTTCTTCCGCAGGGTCTGAGCAATCATGATGTAAGACACCGACACCACCGTGACGCAGAAGCTGAAGTCCACCATGTAGAGAGACAGGATGGCTCTGCCTTCCCGGGCCACCAGACTGGACATGGGCAGGCAGAGGTGGGACTTGCCTGTTTTCAGGGTGCCCAAGGTGGCCAGCGTGAAGCTGGTGGCCCAGAGCAGCAGGGTGAGGAGCACGGTGCAGGGCAAGGAGGCCGTGCGGTCGGGCTGCCGCCCGAGCACCATCCGCAGCCGGTGCAGGGCGATCACGGCCACCGTCTTGAGCGACATGATGGTGAAGCCTGAGCTGGTGAGGTGGAAGGTGAAGCAGAAAGCGTCGGGGATGCCGCCGGCCCGGCTGGCCAGCAGCACGAAGGTGAACATGGGGGCCGTCACCCCACAAATGAAGAGGTCGCAGAAGGACAGGTTCAGAATCAGGAAGTCAAAGTTGGTTCTGAATTTCCTGAAGGCTGGGTCGAAGAACGACAGGAAGACAATGAAGTTGCCGTAGGAGCCCAGGCAGAAGACGAGGGCGAGCAGGAAGGCACAGGTCCCCAAGGTGGCCACGTGGATGAGGTCCTGGAGCTGCCCGTGGACAGCCGTGCCGTTGTCCCCCTGCGGGCGCGGCGCCTGTGCGGAGCTGGCGTTGGGCGCGTCCTGCAGGGCGGCGGTGGAGTTCATCTTCAGGGAGACCGGGCTCGGCCTGCTCCTCTCCAGGACAGCGGGCGCAGGGCCAGCGCCTCAGCTCCCAGGCGCGCCGCGGACCAGGCGAGCCTGCAGACACACCCGCAAGGAGAGGCGTCAGGGTCCACGACAAGGAATCTGCACAGCCACGTTATTTTCTTACGAAAAGTGAGAAGGTTTCAGCTACGTCCAGGTATACGGAAACCATCTCCTCCTCACACAGTTTAACACACACACAAGTACACACACTTCACAACCTGCTCATCCAACTAATACTGAGTCCTACGACATAGCAGCTTCAAACACGTTTATGTTATCACCCGAAAGCCATGTGGAAAAGTTTAAATATCCGCGGGAGGGCAGAGTCCCGCGCTTTACCCCCGGAGATGCCCATTGAGAGTGTGCAGATGTTTCTTTTAGAGACATTTCTGTGGTAGGCACTGGAAATCAGAGGTCACCGTCTAGCTGGAGGAGACGTATCTGTGTATTTGCAGCCTAACGCGGCCGTTGGGTGCTTCCAAAGCAGGCAGAGGCGAGCCAGACCCAGCTGGGGAGGCGCCGGAGAGCACCAGCACGGGGACAGGGAGGGCAGGGGCAGGCGGGGCGCCCGGGAGGAGGGAGGGGGTCTCTGCGGCAGGGGCACCCGGGCGGCTCAGGGAGGCAGGCGGGAACTGCTGAGGCAGGGCGAGGCCCTTCCCCGAGGCCTTGGGGCAACAACCCCACTTCCTGGCCTGGTGCCGCAGGGCCTTCTCCTGTTGCTGAGACAAGACACCAGATACTCAGGATTGGAGCAGGAAAGGGTTACTGTGGCTCACCCTCTCTACAGGTTTCGGCTCCTCCTTGTCTGCCCCAAGGCAGGGTGGCAGGGCGCGGGGCACCCCGGGCAGACACAGGGCACGGCAGGCAGAAGGCGGCCAAAGCAGCGAGCAGCCCTTTCTGTCCCTTACATTCCGTCCGGGCCACCTGCCCTTAGGGCGGACAGGACCTCTGCTGTGGTCACTGCAAGGAACTGCCCACAGAATTCCTCCGTGCCTGTTTGTTTTAGCATATCAAGCCGAGAGTTGATGCGATGGCTTTAGAAGTGAGTCGTGTTCATAGCCCAGGAATAACTGTCTCCCGGCTGGGGTCTGGGCATCTGGGGTTGTCCTAGGCACTTCCCACTACCCACACCCAGAACTACGCAGACCAACCAGTGGACTAGCTCAGTACTCACACACCCAATCCCAGCGTCACACCCCCGACCCCAGCCTCACACCCCCGATCCCAGCCTCACACCCCCGATCCCAGGGTCACTCCCGATCCCAGCATCACACACCCCCGATCCCAGCGTCACACCCGATCCCAGCGTCACACAACCCTGATCCCAGGGTCACACACCCGATCCCAGCGTCACACACCCCTGATCCCAGAGTCACACCCCCGATCCCAGCCTCACACCCCCGATCCCAGCGTCACACCCGATCCCAGCGTCACACACCCCCGATCCCAGCGTCACACCCGATCCCAGCGTCACACAACCCTGATCCCAGGGTCACTCCCGATCCCAGCGTCACACACCCCCCATCCCAGCCTCACACCCCCGATCCCAGCCTCACACCCCCGATCCCAGCGTCACACCCGATC